GTCAAAAAAAGAAGAAGACATAATTTAATTAAAGCAATAAATAAAATTATTAAAAATAAAAGGGAAAAAATCATTACCGAAATAAAGGTAAAATATATATAAATTGCATAAACCAAAGAGTAATAATCTTGAGAGTACAAATTGCTAGAAAATCTTAAACTCAAAAATCTAGAATATAATTTAACTAATTAATGAATGACGTGATAAACTCACTTAACAAAAGCGTAATTATACTAAGCAAGAAAATCCTAAAATAATACGAAGATAAAATCAGCTCATCAGGACTCGAAGAAACGCGCGCCCGGCAGGCGCCTGACTGCCCGGTCGGGCGCGCCTCCGGATGCAAATGTTCTTCTATCTCGCTCGGTCGGGCGAGCCTCCGAGTGCATGCTACTTCTCTTCCTCTCACCCATTCGGGCAAGTCCACCGGGCAACCTTCAATTCTTCGACCTTGGGCCTCTTAACTTGGCCCATGTACGACTTCTTCTTTGGAACTTTGCACTTTCGATCCATGCCTCGATTTCATCTTCTTTGTCAAGCTCTTAATAACCGGGCTCGATTACTCCAATATGGTCCTGGGCTTCGGAAAACGGTCATATAAATGCGCTCTATATCCAATGCTCGTAGTGGCTAAATAATCCCGGGAAATGTCTCAAAATCCGCAATTCCTATAAAATAATATCAAAGCTACGAAAACACTAGAAACACATATTAGTAATAAAAATAGCTCCGTAAAGCCAAAAATACTCCTAAATATGACCAAGGGACAAGGGTAAATCACTATATAAAGTATACATATCAAACTTCCCCAAGCCAAACATTTGCTTGTCCCTAAGAAAAGATCTCATCAATGAACAAATAACACATACTTCATCCCAAAATCATTTAGAATCAAATAGATACGATTCAAGGCAAATCCAAAAAATATGCATCAAAATCAACCAATAAAATCCATCCGACTACTAATCCTCCCTAACAATCGTCAAACAAAGCAAACTACAAGTGTATATGGCATTCATGACTAGTGCTCAGACACTCTTCACTCATTTTTGTAGCGGATATAAAATGTATCTGATCTCTCTCCATCCAACCCCTTTTATGTGAACAATGCCCTCCCAAACTCACAACACTCGTGTGTTTAAAAAGACAAGCACTTAACCTAATAGTCGACTTGGAATATGTCAAATCATTCTTTGCATTGATAAACAACTAATTTCACATTCATACAACTCTATGCATAAAAGTCGAAAGATCTTTAAAGCTTGTAATGTAAGGCTAGGGTGAAAAGGTAGGACAAATTTGGGAAAATGTTGGAATAAAAGTCATGCTTAAGGGAGCCAAAATCCTAACAAATAAAACCAAGGCGAAAAATAAATAATGACCAAATCATCTCCAACACAACTCAACCCCACCAAATCACCAAACAACCAATCCAATACTTCACAAATTTTCCAACACTTACAATTTCACTCATACAAATATGATATTATACAACTTAAGTGAACAAAAAACCTTGAACTCTTTCTTTTTTTTGAACTTGAATTTTTGTTTGAAACTTTTTTTTTCTTTTTCTTGAGCAACCTTAATTTAGAACACTTGAACTTTGACAATTTTTTTTTTCTTTTGCTCTATTTTTCTTTCTTTTGAAGTTCACTTTTTTTTCCTTAAACTACTCTTTTATTTTTCACACTTTATTTTCTTCAAGAATTTTCTTCAACTTTCAAACTCATAAAAAATAATCCACAATTATGAACAAACAACTTCTCAAACCCACCCACATTGTGCAATAATAAAGCACACTACAAACTCCCTCATCTCACTCACTATTAGCTCCCCCAAGCCAAGTTTGGGACTAGTAACCAATAAGGCTAATTAGGTTTGTAATGTGGCTAAAAACAATAAATAGGGCACAAGCAACAACATGGGTAGCAAGAAGGGAACAAATGTATCTAAATTCATCTAAAGGCTACCTAAGAGAACAAATACCTTTGTCCTCCTCAATGTGCATAATAATGAGTCATACAAACATTACTCAAAGTTAAAAACCAATACTCAACTTCATTAACATACCAGGAAACTAATACACACATTTCCTCACCAAATCAACAAGTCAAGCACCAAATCCACAAACAGTTGGACAAAGTTGGCTCACATCAAGGCATCAAAACAATCAAACATCAAATCGTGGCTAACCTATCCACAATATTAATCATCATATACCAAGAATCAAAACAATTTCAAAAATTTGTATATGGGGCACAGGGAAGCCTGATTTATCATTCATTGGAATGTATTTTTGAACTTTTGAATTTTTATATTTTTGAATTTTTTTGTATTTTTTTTCTTTTTTCGAAAGTAATAAAAGCTATACTAGAAAGCAATAAAAACTAAACTAAACACACCAAAAATCAAAAAGAGAAAGAAGAAATAAAGGTACCTCAACAAAAAATTTCCCCGAAGCCAAGATCAGACAATGTCGTCTCTCTCTGCATATCCTTAAACCTTTCCCAAGGTTCATATAAAGACTCGTCAACATCTTGGGAAAAATTAAGGATTGAGCTTCTGGTTAAAGCTGTCTTCTTTGGGGGATAGTACTTCTTATAGAAAGCTAAAGCAAGAGAATTCCAGTCAGTAATACCAAGTGGAGTTTTATTCAATCCATTATACCATAATTTAGCTTTACCACGTAAGGAAAAAGGAAAAAGAATCTCCTTGATTTAGTCCTGCATGACCCCAGCTTGTCTAATGGTGTTGCAATATTAGCAATAATCTAGAATATGAAGATTAGGATCCTCATTCTTAGCGCCACCAAATTGCTTCCTCTCTATCATGCTAATAAACTAAGGTTTGATCTCAAATGGCACTCCTTCGAGATCCGGTGGAGGAGCAAGGTGTGGAAGCTCTACCTAGGAAAGCTGCGAATAATCGCTACCATGGTGGTGCGTGGTGGATTCATGTCTAATTCTTCTATAGATGAACTTGTGTTGCTAGAATCTGATGGGTGTTCCAAAAGGTTGTTACCTTCGGAATTGGCTCATACTTGTCTGTAGAGATTAATCTCTCTATGGAAATAACGTTCGATTTCAGGATCGAATGGAATGTAACCTAATCTAGAACCCCTGGCATAAAAACAAAAATGAACAAACAAATATGAGAAACTATCCCAAAGAACTAGTGTTCTCTAAGATAGAAGAAGATAACCTAGACTACAAAAATAATCAGAAATAAAAAAATTAAAAACCGTTTCTCTGGCAATGACGCCAAATTTTGACAGGCTAAAGTCGTATCACCAAATCAAAAGTAATTCCTAAGTCCTCTAACAAAAGCAGATAGGGAAGTAGGGTCGATTTACTCCTAATAAATTAATATAATCTAAACTATATATGAATTAAACTAAGGAAAATAATTAAATAAGCAATTAAAATTAAGAGAATATCAATAAACTAAAGACTTGGGCATAGGTTCACCAATAAATAATATTCCGGGATAAAGGACAACAATCAATTATCAATACATAAATTAACCAAATTATAAAGGGCTTTCGCTACGTATTACAATCACATAATTAACTTAGCGGCATTAAATCGCATCTCTTGAATCTTGACTTAACCATTATAAATTAACATGCCTATTAAAACTAAGCCTAAACATCAATTCTCATCTGTTGAATCTCGAATCAATATTGCTTAACTCATACAATTAAAAGGCCTAATCTAATTGCACAGCAGTAAATCAATCAATAGGAAATTAATTTAAAACATTAACAATCAACAATAATAAATCACCCATTTATATTATTTATGGATCCCCAAGAACCCTAGAAGTAAACTACTCATACATAATTAAATCTAAACTAATCCAAGCAATTAAAGAAGACATAATTTAATTAAAGCAATAAAATTACTAGCTAGAAATAAAAGGGAAGAAAATCGTGACCGAAATAAAGGGAAAATATGAATTGCATAAATCAAAGAGTAATAATCTTGAGATTACAAATCACTAGAAAATCTTAAACTCAAATATATGGAATTTAACTAATTAATGAATTTAAATTAGGCCTTGTACTATAATACTTTGTACTCCAAGAGTACCTAAGACTAATTGGTGTTTGATTAGCATGATTAAAATTCAAATAAGACTTGAACCGACTTTTCTAGACCCGACTCGACTAGACTTGACTTAACCTGAAATTGACTTAATTCAAAATTCAACTTACACAAACATAATAATTTAGCGTAACTTAAATCTAAACCAAACTCGACATGATTAAATTTGACTCGACCAAACCCAACCTATGAATCTAGTGAGCCAAATTGACACCATTGTGAACGGATACGGTTTTTCCCCACTAATAAGTAATAACCCAAGTCGTCATTTCTATGGAAAATTGTGTAGAACTACCCGTAAGATAGGGTCATTTGTGAACAACTACCCGTTTATTTTTTTTATTTGTTTAGAACTACCCGCAAGTTTAAAAAAGTTTGGGTAGCACTACCCATTAACGTTTTCCATCCAAAAAACCGTTAGTGGGCCCCACATTGTACACGTGTCAATTATTTATTGGATAAAAAAAATTAAAAAGTAAAAAAAAATAACAAAAAAAAAAAACACTAAACCCAAACCCCAGCCACCAGCCCAGCCGCTGGCGGTCCAGGAACCCCAGCCGCCAGCGGTCCCGGAACCCCAACCACCAGCCTCCACCACCCCGAAACCCTACCCCCCTTCTCTCTCGTCGCCATTTCTCCGCTGATGCCGGCCCCTCCCCTTCCCCTCCTCTTCCAAAACGCACAAAAACGCCATTGAAGCTCCATTGAAGCTCACGCATGAAAGCTTGAGGAACATCATTTCTTCACCAAATATTATTAAACTTGTACCAAAATGTTCGCAATTCAACATACAATCAATTAGAGCAAACAATTTTGTGAATTGCTTCACCAAACAAAAAACCCCAATTCAATTTTTTTAGGGTTCATCACAAAAATTGGTGGTGATTGGAGTTTAGGCTGGTGGTGATGGTGGTTGTTTGGTGTTGTGGGCTGTAGGTTTTCCAGTGGAGAGGGGAATGGGGTTGCTGGGTTCTGGTGGCCGGTGGGCAGTGGGGATGGGGTGGTCAGGGAAGGAGGGTGGGGTTGGGTTCTGTTTTTTTTTTTAATCCAATAAATAATTGGCACGTGTACAATGTGGGGCCCACTAACGGTTTTTTGGATGGAAAACGTTAATGGGTAGTGTTATCCAAACTTTTTCAAACTTACAGGTAGTTCTAAACAAATAAAAAAAAGGGTAATTGTTCACAAATAACCCTATTTTACGGGTAGTTCTACACAATTTTCCCTCATTTCTATTTCACCCAAAAAAAAAATCGTCATTTGTATGTAATATTAAAAAGCATATTCTCTCTCCTTCTCTCTCTCCTCCCTCTTGTGTCTGCATCCATCTCTCGTCCTTTTCATCTCTCCTCTTCTCTTCTGTTTCAACGTAATTAATTGGTTAATGCTTTCAGATTCTTCTGACCCTCTTCTCTTTTCCCCTTCACTAACTTCCTCCTCCCAATTTCCACCCAAAATTCAGTACAAATTTAGCAATACCCACCAATTTTTGATCGCAAATCATGGATCTGTGGTCTGTTCATGTCAAATACAGTAACCCAACTCCCATTTTTGCTCGAAATTCATTTCTTGATAAACCCACTTCCTTTAATTTTGCCAAGAATTCACCATTTTCAGTTGAAGATTGTGGGCGTTTATTTGATATCAGTATTAATTCAAAGCGCAAGCATTCTTTTTCTTATGGGTATAATACTAGTTCTTCCTTCATTGTTCAAGCTAAGGGGAAGAAGAATTCTGATAATTTTTCATCTTCTTCAGGTACCCTTTCTATCATTCTTGTGAAAAATTCTTCTGGGTTGCTTTAATTTTTGCATTTTAATTTACCTGTAATTGTTTTTAGTGCTGATTTTATTTGCTTTTTTACTTATTGTTATTGTTTTGATATCTGCATTTTGTTATTGGTTTTCTGGGTTGTGTTTTAGGCATTATCGTAGTTACAGATTTTGTAACTGAGTGGATGTCAATTAGCTTAGTCGGGTTTGTGCCCAAGACCTCGGATCAATAATTTCCATTTTTTGCTCTTTATACACCAAGAAAATGTATATGAAATATTGAATAAAAATGAAGTAGTCTTGCAGTATTAGTGACTGAATTGGGAATATGATCGGGTGGATGTTTGTGTATTGGAAGCGATTATTATGTCTTCTTGAGTATTAAGGTTTCGTTTCGAGGTTTTGGTACATGGTTTGGTACTTGTAATGATAGAAATTGGTACAAAAGTCTGGACTCTTGGTTTCTTGGCTTTTGATTAGTTGCGCACTGATAGGCGCCGAGATGAATGTTACAAGTACTGGTGCTCGAGATGGATCACATGAACATTAATATAGTTTGTTGCAAGTTCTTTGTTCTAGCTTAATAATCAAATTTGTACTAGTTATCTTAGTATTTATTAGGCATAGGTGATTGGAGTGACGTTTGATCACGTACTACTACGAAGTTTGAACTACTGGAAAAACATATTCCTGAAATTTGGAAGGGTCTCATCAGAACTTGTTAAATTTATGGCTTCTTTTTTTTTTTTTTTTTTTTTTTTTTTTTTAATGTTTTGGTACTTATACTGGTAGTGAGTAAACAGGACTAAAAAAGCAATTAGAAATTTGATTGAAAAAAAAGGATGGAGAATTTCTCGAGAACTTTCTTTATATTTTGTTGCATTATTTGGGTCTAGAAATGTTGTGTACATATGAAGTCAGTAATATGTGACTCAATGTGCTCTTTATGTTACTTTATGATGAAGTATGCAAGGAAATATTGTATGCAAATGTAAATTAAGACAAGTGTGATATGGTGAAGTTGGAGTTAAATCTGTTGAATAAAGTGTTAATATTCTGGTTATATATCATTCACTTTGATAGTGAAGATGGGTTATCTTATAGCCATGTAGTTTCTCAGTTGTAATATGGAAGTTATTCTCCTGAAAAAATGTGCCATATTTTTTATTCTTGTGGGTCAGATTTATTAAGGCTTCACTTTCAATTGACGAAACAAAATACATTGAAGAGAAACATGCTGGATGACTTGTTACTGGAATATCTTAGCAATCCCGCGTCCCCTATCCATGAATTCGTGATAACTGTGGGAAAAAAAATGCTGACATTGCTGACAGGATAAAGAACTAAAGCTCTGCCTACTGCCTTCCATGCCCAACGTTTCACCACTGCTTCTTCATTATCACATGCAGTAATCTCACTATTGTCTGGACTTCTATGTATTACCTGAGGTCCTGAGGTTTATGGGTGGTCTAACCTAGTATAGGTCTATGAGATGAGCTGGATTTTGGTTTTTATGTACGATACTACGATGTATTCCTTATGAAGAGGCTATCTTTGTGGTGGTTCTATTTTCAGAAATTTGGAGTTACTGACTACTGAGTGTATCTTATGTAGAAAGAAACATATGATTCTTCTATGAATTTGGTGTTTAACAATGAAGTGCAAAAGGTTTGGATGGGGATTTAAAGACTGAGAGTCTGAGATTGACTGCTGATGTAGTGGTCTATTTAGCAAGTTAAGTAAGTCAGCTAGCTTTAGATACTCTTAAGGTTTGTTTGAGTAATGACCTTTATTTCTTTTATTTATGAGCAGGGTATAATACTTGTTGCAGCTGTATTAATAAGGAGCAGGAATTCAAATCCTTTCTTTGTTGTTTGGTGAGGAGAACTAGATATGATATTTTCTAAAGAGAGGAAAACATCATTGTTCAGATGGAATCACCAATTCATGTTTTTTAAAACTATATAAGTTGTCTACACAAACGGTTATAATGATGGAAAAAATAACATGTAACTCATAATTAAGGGCAGATCTATGCAGGATCCAAGGAGGCATGTTCCCAGTTTTTATAATAACCTTTTGATGCAATATATGATAAAATAAATTAAATGTGCAAGCGTTACACAATTACACATTGAAACAATAATTTTATTGGTTGAGTCATACCCTGCACAGCCCATGCACTGGAGTCCATGTTTCGAGAAATCTTTGGTTGATCATAACTTTTGTAGTTGTAAGTTATTGAAAAGCTGCAATTGCTTGGCATTTAATTGTAGCTATAGTGAAATTTTGGATCATAAATTCTTGAAGCTTTGAAAGCTTGAATGTAGAGATTATTCAAGCTATATATATTTCTATACATCTTTAGTGTATATATATATATTTCTTTACATCTTTGTTGTATATGTATTTCTTTACATCTTTATTGCTATTGGAAGAAAGAGATTGTAGAGACGTATAAAAAGGCACATTATGAGTTGTCTTACATTTGATAAGTTGAGAGATAATAACTAATCTGTCAGCTACATGTAGAAGTGATTATTGGTTTTAAGTTTCTTATTTTTATTTTTGGCCTACCATAGTTTCAAATCTCCCTTTTTGGGCACCAAGATATAAAGGGAAATACATAATAATCAAATCTTGGTCCAATTTCAGCAAATTGCCTCCTTAATATCTTGTATTCGTGACTTCGTGTTATATTTCCTCACATCAAAACAGACCTTTAATTGTGCTTATATATATATATATATATATATATATATATATATATATATATATATATATATATATATATATATATATATATATATATATATATATGGGAGGGATCCGGTGAGAATAGATCCATATGTGAGAATTCATACTTATATGAGAATTGATCTATAATTTAGAACATACGAGTAAAAATTTAGAACATGTGATTCCAATTTAGATTTAGAACATATGAGTAATAATTTAGAACATGTGTGTGAATAATAATTTAAAACATCTGATTTAAGAATTAGAACATGTGAGTAAAAATTAAAAAAAATCTGTTTTATGAAATTTAGAACATATGAGTAAAATTTAGAACATCTAATTTATTAGTTTAGAACATGTGAATAAAAAATTTAGAACACCTGGTATAAAATATAGAAAATGTGAGTAAAAATTTAGAATGTAGTAAAAGTTGGAACATATTCTTTCAAATCTAGAATATATAACTAAAAATCTTAGAACACACGTTTTAAAATTTAGAACATATAAGTTAAAATTTTGGAATAAGTCATTTAAAATTTTTAACATCTAACTTAATTAATTTATGGTTTAGAACATGTGAGTACTAATTTAGAACATTTGATTTAATTTAGAACACCTAGGGAAAATTTTAGAACATCAGATTTAAAATTTAGAACATACGAGTAAAAATTTAGAACATAAAAAGTGTTTTCACACAAGAAAGAGTTCTCACATAAAGGAGGGGTTCTCACGAGAGCCTTCCCCTATCTATATATATCCACCTGCTGAAAATTTTTGTTAGAAAATGAAGCATAATAAATACTTTCTTGTGAATCCAGTCAAAACCAAAGAGAGTTTTGTGAGCATGGCGTCTTTCTCTCTAATGCATGAATGCATCCATCATCTTAACTTTGAGCTCCTTGATAAAAGCTCCTCCTATAAAAAACCCAAAAATATAATACATGCTTTATATTAATGCTGAAGCCCTATCCAGGTGGTATTGGGGGGGGGGGGGTGGGAGGGTAGGGATTGTATGTAGGTAGCAATGTCAAATTTGCCACCTAGGTCAGGGTGAAGCCAAGTCAAATGGATTTGGCTCATGCTAGATAAGTATTTCATGCAGATTGAATTTATGTTCATGTCACTTTGGGTTTGGTCTGGTTGTTCTCAGATCTGTTTCATATAGCTATAGATGTTGGCAGCCATATTACGTAATTATAGGGGGGTTGTTTCTAGTTGACTTATGATCCAATATACACGGACTATTTGCAACCAAACATTCAATATGATATCTTTGGGTCATTAAAAGCCTTTTTAATTGTGGATATGATTGTAATGTAGGAAATGGTGACCATTCAAAATCAGGGGGCAATGGTTCCAAAGGAAATAATTCTGATGGGAAGAAATCAAATAACAATGCAAATCAAAGGCCTCAGCAAATAATCCAAGACTGGAGAGAGTTTAGAGCTACACTCTTTGCTCGTGAGCAGGTAATTGCCTATTTTTTTGGGTTATCAATTATCTTTGTTGCTCAATTCTTGCTGGTACCCTGTAAGATATCTTCATGTCCAAGATTGCTATAGATAAGTTTTACAGTCACAATAATTCTAGAAAGCTCTGCAATGTCTATGATGCTTTGGTTGCCTGTCTGGTCATTTGATCTCTGCCACTTCTGAATCTTGAATAAATTTACTCATGGCTCCTTTTTTGTTTTTTATGCCTTTTTTGACACTCAATTTTGTTGCAAAAATTGTATATTAGTGCTTACAAAACTACAAGTATGTTAGAATATGAATCCTTTGTACGATAGCCATGTGATTTTCTTAGTATATTGCTGAAGATCTTTGCACAGCTTGTAGAAATATTCTTAGGCTTTGCAACATTGAAAAGATAAGTGAAATAAGACTTTTATTTAGAGATGGCGGGAGTAAGTCATAAGATACACTTATAATTTTGATTTTGATTACTAACTTGAGTTTCGATTCAATCATGCATCCAAAAATTCCTTGGGATTTTTAGATAGTTATCTGTGATGCCCTTTTTATTTTATTTTATTTTTCATTTTCTATGAGGCTGTTCTAAACTGTTTGCTGTGATCTCATATGGATTTTGATCACTCTAAAATTAATTTTCGTGATCTTGTTAAATGAGCTCTTAATTCTTATTGAGGAGTTTATTTTGTTTGGGTTCATGCCATGTCCACTGATTATCAAAAGCAATGGACAGTGATGCCGTTTTTGCTGGGTTAAAAGTAGCATGATGGAGTTAGGTATGGTAATGAGAGCTGAATTTTAATTTGGTGAAGGTTTTAATACAGTTGATGCATAGTTTAGTCGCTTCCTGGGGTGACAGCAACTAAATTTCTACCAGCTAGATATTCTGGAACCCACTTTTAGCTCAATGCTATTTAATTACTGAATTGTCAGTAAATTATCAGTTGACAAGTTAGTTTTTGATGATCTCAAACATGGTAAAGCATTGGTAAGATGATTGAAAGACATTGTGTACAATGAGTTATTTCTAGCTCGAATTTCCAAATGGCTTCATTTTAGTTGTTATGCAGTATGCTTTCATCCTTTTGTTAACATTGCCCTCCTATTAACCCCCAGTGTGAACTGCTACTATCTTTAAATACCTTTCTAATAAGGATATTTGACTGATTGAGTCATATTATGGGACTTCTTTTTACATTTGCATAATGCTTAATACAGCAATTGGCTTTGTCGAGGAAGTAATTCAGACTGATTGTTGGCTGCTCTTTCCTTGTGATATTTGCATGGGTAACCTGGTGCATTATTAATATTCCATCTCTTCTCCTAATCTATGCTTGTAATCTTATTAGGCAGAATCAGTTGACTCCAGCAGTCATGGCCATGATGGATCACATACAGAATCAAAACCATTAGGCATGAAGTGGGCCCATCCTATTTCAGTGCCAGAAGCAGGCTCCGTTCTTGTTGCCACAGAAAAGCTAGACGGTGTTCGTACTTTTGAGAGAACTGTGGTTCTCCTCCTCAGATCTGGGACTCGACACCCTCAAGAAGGCCCCTTTGGAGTTGTAATCAACCGCCCTCTTCATAAAAAGATTAAGCACATGAAGCCCAATAATCTTGAATTAGCCACCACCTTTGCTGATTGTTCATTGCATTTTGGTGGGCCCCTTGAAGCAAGCATGTTCCTGTTAAAAACAGGGGAAAAACCTAAGATTCCTGGATTTGAAGAGGTGATCCCTGGCCTGTGTTTTGGTGCTAAAAATAGTTTGGATGAAGCAATGGGATTGGTGAAAAAAGGTGTGCTTAAGCCCCATGACTTCCAATTTTTTGTTGGATATGCTGGGTGGCAACTTGATCAATTGCGGGAAGAAATTGATTCTAAGTATTGGCATGTGGCTGCATGCAGCACAAACTTGTTGTTCGGCAGTTCACTTGATTCATCAGAAGGTTTGTGGGAAGAGATTTTACAATTGATGGGCGGTCAGTACTCAGAGCTCAGTCGAAAGCCTAAGCAAGATCTGTAATTGTACTTTCTTTACGGTGCAGGAACTTATATAGTTAGTAATAAGCTTGTGGTGGAATATGAATTAGTACGAAAGTTTGTATGTTGAAGTGTTGAACTGAATGTACATAGAAGGTTGGAGAATGCTTCAAATAGTAGATTGTGCTTTTCAGGTACTTGTATGTAGTTATACTGCATCATCTTTAATGCCAACTGCAGATTGGTGAAAAATTTTAGACTCATTATCTATAGAGAAATTTTGCCCGAACCATTCAGATTTTTGCTGCTCTCTGCTGTCATTTCGAGTTTGTAAATTATTTACTAGTACTATGCAGTACTTAGTAGTATATAAACTCCCTCATGCTTACAACTGCACCGTGTAATCTTAACAGCTTGAGTAAAAATAGTCCATGCTATGTATCGACTACTTAGTACTTACTACTATATACGAACTATATCTATGTTTGGCTTTCGAAAGTACCTTTGGCAGAAAATTGCTCTTATTTTATACTGAGTATTCACAAATCTTATCATTATACTTTGTAAGAAATTTGGGTTAGTTATAGTCAGAAATTTTGGCATTGAAAAAGTCCATGGCACGTATCTTAAAACGATGTAGTATATTTAGGTATGAGTAGTGTATATAGCTGGACCAATATCAGCTAAGATGCTTGATGATGCAAAGTTCTGTGAAGATTAGAAACAATAAAAAAATGCACAAATTGGTATTAGCAATGAAAGATGGCGGGTGGGGCTAATTAGGTTGGTAGTCAATGAAAGGATTTTAAACAAGGGTTCTAAAGATGGTAGCTGGTGCTAATTAGGATGATAAGTCACAACAAGGTTCTAAAATATGGATTCTAAAGATGGCAGGTGAAGCTAAAGCGGCAAGTGTGTAGATTGGGTTGGCAGTAACATAGTTTTTAAACATGACTACAGATGACAGGAGCGTAGATTAAGTCGCTCCATCGCTGGTCATGAAATAATTCAAAAGTGTAGACGCCTCTTTAAGTAACATTTGTAACGTAACAAGCTAATTCAATGTTCCAAAGAGGATGAAAATATTAGATAATAATTTGCTCCTTTGCATGGTTGGAAAAATGGGACTGTATAGCTGATACCTTATGATATTGTTGATATCCATACAATGTTCTTCATATTAAAATATTGAGATTTGTTCATGTGATTTTCCTTTTAATGTTGATACAAGTAAATAATGGTAGAGATAGTAAACGAATAAGGAACACTATGTTAACAGCTAAACACATTGTTAGGTTAGCGCTGATTAGGTTGGTAGTCACGGCAAGGTTTTTTAAACATGAAATTTAGTGATGGCAAGTGTGTTAATTAGGCTGGTAGTCATGGCATGGTTTTTAATGTAAGAACAGATAGAGGGTCGCGTGGGCTAGGTTGACAGTAACGAAATAATTCACGACTAGCATAGCTGCCTCTCGAATATTTAAAAAATTTAACGTAAGTAGCACGAGTCATTGTTCCGAAAGGATGTACGTATCTGATAAAATAGTTGTAATTTGCTCCTTTACATTGATGGAAAGATGGAACTATATGGATGATACCTCGTAACACTCTTACAATGTAGTATATACAGCTGGACCAAAATCACCTAAGATGCGTGACAATACGAAGTTCTGCAAAGATTAGAAACAACCAAACAGGCACGAACTGGTATTATCAATGAAATCAAACTTTCAGGTACATGTAAATATGGACATATAAATCAGCACTCTACATTGTATACATATAAGTGTATAGGCTTTGGATTTACAATTTCCCTCATCTCTTACTCTTTTCCTTTACAAATAAATCTCCTCATTCTAAACACTTGGAAAACACCAGGTAAAAGAGTTTGTCAATCCTATTCTTCTCCGACACTCACTGGAGCTCTGTTCGAATCCTGGTTGATTAAAGTTTTTTTAGAATGTATATACCTGCTTCTCTCAAATGTCATGTTGAGCTCCTTTGTCATCAGCCAAGTTCACGAGGAGAAACAGTTTCTTTTGTGTTATACAAGTTACCAGCCATTTCTTCCATTAGAGTATTGCAGCTGAACCTCCCCAACATCATTATTGGTTTTGTTTCTGGCTTTCTCCATGCGCGATTTTCTAACAGCCTGCTGAATTTGCCTCTCATGCTCTTTCAACATATCTTCAATATTTCCCCCAGGAGGAACAAGAGGTCCAGAGTAGTGAATTCTGTTTTTCTTCGGCATGTAACCCTTTTACATAGAGAAACATAAGAAGATTAAATATGTGAAACAGCGCCATTTGTAGCTGAGTAAAGTAAAGAATGAAAAACGTTTGGATACCCAAATATAATTGCGATTGTTGAGGATACTTACATTATCTTTGCCAGAAGGCCAGTCGTCCCTTGTGTATGAGTCTGCTCTGTCTGGAGTCACAGCATGTTTTTGAGACCTTGAATCTGGTCTATCTTTCGAAGCGCTGTAAGCCCTTCCTGGAGCTTGGTGTGCATCATTTTCATCCTTAGCCTTTCTATTCCATGCCAAACCAACAGCACTTGGGTGAACCATTGAACTGCAATGAGACAGACCATTGGCTGTGTTTCGCGTTTGTGCATCAACTGTAAAGGCATTCCCTCCATTTCCTTGAGCATTGTAATTTCTTGCACCTTTATCTCCCTACAATAAAATGTTTCAAGCATAGTCAGGTAATGAGGCACATGAAACTATAACTATCAAATGATTGAGAGTGGAAAAGTACCTTTAAAGAGACTTCTCCATTCGCATCATACTCCGGGGTTGGTTTGGAGTCTCTTGGACCTCTCCTAACAGATTCAGGCCCTCGTCCTTTAACAGAATCTGCCTTTCGCCTGAAATAATATTACAGGGAATTTAACGTAGGGTGAGTTTTAATAGCCATTAAAATTAAAGGATGGTATAACCTTGCCTTGATATCCAAGCTATTTCTTTTGACATCACATGCTACTGCTAAAGCCTAGATTTGGGGGATTCTTAATATCAGGCTTGTAATTAATTAAATTGTAGTGGCAAGGTAATACATGCATCTCCTTCTATGTTGTTGATTGTGATATAGTGCTCCAAATAACACATATTTTCTACTCCATTTTTCTGATCGCCAGTTTGTTATGTATTCTTTCGAAATAAATGAAAATTGGTCTTTGTCAAGGAAATTTATACTTCGTACTACCTCTGTTTCTTATTATTTACAACAAAGGAATTTTAATGTCTCATAAATAATACCCTTTACTGCAAATAATAAGAAATGGAGGTAGCATATAAAATCTTTCCTACATGCTGTGGACTTTATACTAGCTCCAATGATTTTCTGTTGTATGAACTTTGTTCCAGGGTATTGAAGGCTTAGCATATCTGCAGCTGTGAATATTCTGTGTTGAATAATACATAATTTTATTACGTTTCGTGCAATATATAGACAGAATTAGTGATTGGCATCTTGAAAGATAAGTATCAATGAATACTCAATCCAACCGTTCCACCCCTAAAAATGTAAAATTTGCTCAACATTTCATGTACTCTACAAAATACTATGAGGCAATACTAATGAGAAAAAAAAAAATGGTGAGAGAAAAAATAATGCTGTTAAATTGAATACTAAAGTTTAATACATACCTTCTGGCTTCTTCATCACGGACTTTTATGTCAAATTCCTTTGTTGGAGGACATTTTGGCAAGCATAATGGATCACAAGGAAGTGGATGCGTTGTGAAAAACTGGATGGGAAGATTCGTGTCAAATGAAGTTTTTACAAAGTGGAATAGACAATAACATGCTAATAGATTGCCACAGAATAAAGTTCACTGACTCCTTGCTTTGATAAGAAACAGGTGCAACTATGCAAGGTCAAAGCAGGCTAGAAGTGGAGCAACTTAGGAAAATGATACAACATTGAAATACATAATATTTGAGTGATTAAAAGACAGTATAAACAAACCTGTTGCAGATGTAACCTTGTCATCTTTTTAATATACCAAAGGTGATTTTCACATATTTGAGCGTAAAACAAGCATTGATAAAAAATTTGAGCGTAAAACAAGCATTAATAAAAAAATATTATACAAGAATATGATTTTCACAATGTCCGTCCTAGCACTAGCAAAGTCATGGTTCAGACTTTAAATGAAAAATCCACAGCAGGATCAAAATGTGAAATTTCATTAATGCATATATAATGGTAACCACCTCGCTTTTTAATGCAGCTGAAGCTGTTCCTCTTCTTTCTGGTTCAATAGAGAGAAGGGCATCAACAAGCGTTAAAGCTGAAGCAGGAAAGTCTTTAAATGTCTCCATGAGACGACGCTTATAGGGTTGTGAGGGTTTGAAACTAGTTGCATGCGGGAATTTAGTCCTCTTCCAGTATAATTCAGATGGTGAGCCACAAAGCTTGAAAATCTTGTGCATTTGCTCCACCTATACAGGTTTACAAATGATCGATAAACATTTGAATTATGATGTTAGTTTAAAACAACAATATAGCTAACTAAAAGTTTTCAAAAAAAAAAAAAAAAAAGAAAAAAAAATATAGCTAACTAAATACTTCGTATATAAGTTCTAAAGTAAGGTGTTCATCAAGAATAAAATTGATGCAATCAAATTTCTGGCTAGAATTTGCATTTATTTGTGATGAAATATTGTGATCTCCAACTGAAATTTTTAAAGCACTGGAAATAGGAATAGTCATTGTTATTGCAGACAAGAAAGATCTCAATATCAATAGTTTGTGAGTGAGTTTATACCAATTTCTCACTGAAATTAAAGAAGAAGATGAATGTAGAGTATGACAAGGAGCATTTTTAAGTTTTCACAGGACGTGACTAATGAGTGACCTTTTTGCAGACTAAAGATCCTTACTAAGAAATGAGGTGTAATTGACACTTATTTTGTAGAATTCAAAGTTTGCAATATCAAAGATTTGATAGAGGAACAACTGAGTTTCTGGTTCACTTCAGATTACCTCTGTTCTTCCAGGCATGATTGGCTTCCCAGTGAATAGTTCTGCAACTATGCAACCCACACTCCACATATCTACAGCAATGCCATAGTTAGTTGAGCCCAGCAAAAGTTCAGGTGCCCTATACCATAAGGTTACCACACGACTTGTTAATGGCTGCTTTTGGCCAGGCTTGAAGCAAGTTGCCAGACCAAAATCTGCAATTTTGAGCACACCGTCATTGTTGATGAGAAGGTTGGAACCTTTGATGTCTCGGTGAAGGACTCCACGACTATGGCAGTGCACTAGTCCAGAGAGTAGC